CACTGTTGTATGAAAGAAGTTATAGACAACATGTAAGCAAATGAGCACAGCTGTGCTTTAATAAAGCTTTATTTACAACCTGTTGCTGCTGAGTCAAATAGAAATTTGAATTTCAAATTATTTTCACGTCATGAAATAATATTATTCGTTTATTTTTTCCAACCACTTAAAATTTTAAAAGCGAATCTTAGGCCACAGGCTATGCAAACATGTACAGCAGGCTGGATTTGGGCCGTGGGCCATAGTTTGCCAACCCCTGCCTCATATTAAAATGCTTTTAAAGTATTTATTGTTTACTTATAAATCTTTAAAAGTGACAGAATAAAATAGAAGGAGCTCAGCATATAATCTTGGGCTCCTACGCTTCAAATCAAATCCACAACACCTGTAGGAAAATATTAATGTATTTCACTACATTGAAATTGGACTTTTTTTATACATACATACATTTTTTTATACATAACATACAGCTATGAGCTCATAAACTAGGATGAAATACTTCTAACATGGATATGCTTAGTACCTAAAGTACACTCACAAATGAATTACATGGACAGACAGTTTATACATTTAGAATTACAAATGTCTCAAACACTTACCCAACCTTGTAATAAAAAAGAAGCCAATTAAAATGGGGTTTTTAAAATGAATGGTAGTGTCCACTACTGAGGCTCTGGGCAAATGGTATACTGTAGTTGCGAGTATAATAAAAGTATAATTCAGAAAGAGGCTGGGCAATATATATGAACACTTAAATGTGCATGTGGTTTTATAAACCTCTTCTAGAAATACAGAAACGGAGATTGGTGTTGTATGTGTGTGTGTAAGAGCAATGTTAATTATTACGAAAAATTGAATGTAACTAAATTGTTCATCTATAGAGATTGCACTGTAACTATGGAATAGCAGACATTCATTTAAAATAAGGTAGGCAAATATTTGAGATGGAAATATACTAAGATACATTAACAGGGAAAAAATTTAGTACAATATGTTGTTGTTAGCTGCTGTGGAATCTGCTCCAGGCCTATGGTGACCCTGTGCACAGTGGACCCAAAACTCTGCCTGGTCCTGCATCATCCCCATGATCGGTTGTGGATTGGACCTTTGTAATTCATAGGGTTTTCATTGGCTGATTTTTGGAATTAGATTGCCAGCCTTTCTTCCTAATCTGTCTGAGTCTAGAAGCTCCGCTGAAACCTGTTCAGCATAACAGCAACACTGGTGGTGGTGACTGCACATGAGGTGCATTGGCCGGGAATCAAACATGGGTCTCCCACATGGAAGGCAAGAGTTCTACCACTGAATTACCACTGCCCCCTGAGTACAGTTATACATATGAGGATATATGCATCCAAGGGTATCTGTAAAGTTACATATACAAATGCTAACAGTGATTATCTGTTGGTGGTGATCATGGTTGATCTTTCTATATAGTTTGTACATTTTTGAATTTCTTTGCCACGAGCATGCATTACTTCAGTTAGTAAGAAATACTTTGAAGATTTTCAGTTATATAATTTCAGACTTTTCATAGACTTCTCTCAATACAACCCTAGACAATTACCTTTCTTGATGGCCTAGAATAGCTGGCATTTCATTAGAGGTTGTGACTTAAGCAATGTTGCCATTCCTGTTCTAAGTCCCAGACAGCTCAGTTGGTTCATCCTCAACTGCATTCGCTCCCCTTTGGGAGGTGAGTGCCTTCAACACCGCGGCAGTGATAGCAGGGCTGCCTTGACTAATGTGCAGGTGAGGTGGGGACTGCATTCTCCCTCCACACTGTGCGTCACTTTAGAAGCCAAGTCTGGTCTAGGGTGACTGGCCAGGAAGGGCCCCTTTATTTAAGACCACAGTCATTTTCTTGGGGATCTCTGATGCTTTGGTCTCTTAGAACCATTTTTTCTTAACTGTAAGAGACACATGGTCTTTGTGGAACATGTAGAAGATGCAGAAACTGTGAAGAAGAATACCAGTCTCCTACTCTCTTAGTGTTGGCTTTATTCTAGTTGTTTCTTATTTGAATGCTTTTTGTCAGTAGGTAAGATGTAACTAGGTGGCTTTAGATGGAACCTCTCCCTGGATGGGAAGGCAGCTGTGCTCTACCTCCTCTGCTCTGCCTGTCTCTCTGCAACTCTGTGCTGGTAAAGCCATCTTGTTGACCCTGCTTCTTTTCCCCAGATTACCTTATCAATTATAATTGTCTTGTGAAGTAGAATCACTTATGTTGTACCTTTCAATTTCTTGGCCATTTAGAATGTGTTAGGTGACATCCATCCCTAGGATAGTGGCTGCTGTGGGATAAAGTAAAAGGCCATATGACTGGCTTGCTTTCAGAGGGCAGCAGTGATGAGCAAGGCCTTCTGGATTCTCTGTAGTGTGGCCGTAGACAGATCAGGTAACTCATCAAACCAGGAAAGCAGGAATAAATGAAATGATGGTGTGTCTGGGAAAGTTGGGCAACACTTGGAACCTCTGGGTAAGAATATGGGGAGCACCGTCTTGTCCAAATATAGCCACCCACTAGGCTCAGAACGAAGTAGAAACAGATGTCAAAATGGAACTTGTACATGTGTAAATTTTAATTTGTATTCTTAATGATATCCACTATCATTTATTGAGCACTTACTAATGTGCTAGGCACTTCTTTGCTCTTCACAATCCTCATAGTCCTACAAGGTAGGTGGTGTCCTTATTTTGCAGATGAGGAAACTGAAGCTGAATGAACTTAATGAATTTGTCTGTGGGTAAAACACCAAAGCAGTGCTTCAGTTCATGATTAAAAAAAGAAAAAAATAATTGTGGTAAATTGCAACAAAACATTTGCCATTTTAGTCATTTTTAAGTGTACAATTCAGTGACATTAATTACACTCACATGTTGCATGTTGTGCTACCATCTCCATTGTTCTTTTCCAACAGCTTTCCATTACCCTAAACAGAAACTCAGTAACCCTTAAGCAATAACTCCCCGTTTCCCTCTCCACCCAGCTCCTGGTAGCCATTAATAAACTTTTATCTCTATGTATTTGCTGATTTTTCATGTAAGTGCGATCATATAACATTGTCCGTTTGTGTTTCAGTTATTTCACTCAGAATAATGTTTTCCAGGTTCACCCATGTCATGGCATGTATCAGGAATCCATTTCTGTTTAGGGCCGAATAATATTCCATTTTATGGATATACCACATTTTGTTTATCCATTCATCTGTTGGGTTGTTTCTACATTTTGGCTATTGTGAATAATGCTGCCATGGATATTGGTGTACAAGTATCTGTTTGAGTCCCTGATTTCAAGACTTAGGTATATGCCTAAGAGTGGGGTTGCTAGGTCATATGGTAATTCTGTGTAGCCCACAGCCCACTTTTTGACGAACCGACAGATGGTTCTTCACAGGGGCCGTACTATTTTACATTCCCACTGGCAATGCGTGAGTGTTCCAGTTTCTCCACATCCTCACCAACTCTTCTTATTTTCTGTTTTTCTGATGATTTCCATCCTAGTGGGGGTGAAGTGGTATCTCATTGTGGTTTTGATTTGTATTCCCCTAGTGACTAATGGAGCCCTGGTGGTGCAATGGCCAAGAGCTATGGCTGTTAACCAAAAGGTTGGCAGTTCAAATCCACCAGCCACTCCTTAGAAACCATACGAGGCAGTTCTGCTCTGTCCTGTAGGGTCACTGTGAGTCAGAATTGACTCAATGGCAACGGGTTTGGTGTTTTTGGTTTTAGTGACTAGTGAAGCTGAGCATCTTTTTATGTGCTTATTGGCCATTTGTGTATCTTCTTTGGAGAAATGTCTATTCAAGTGGTTACTGGCCACTTGTGCTTATTGACCATTTGTATATCTTCTTTGGAGAAATGTCTATTCAAGTCCTTTGTCCATTTAAAAAATGGGTCTGTTTGTCTCTTTGTTGTTGATTTGTAGGAGTTCTTTATATATTCTGGATATTTAACCCTTAGCAGATACTTGGTTATCAAAAATTTTCTCACATTCTGTTGATTATATCTTCACTTTCTTTTTAAAGTCAGTTATTTTTTTTTTCCTTGACCTTTAGAACTTGGAGAATTAAAATTCTGGCTTGGACTGATTGCTTTAATATGAATGTAAAAAAGCCTCCAATATAACTATAATGTAGAATTGTATTTCATCAAATTTCTCTCTCTCCCTCTCTTTCTCTTTCACACTCAAACACACACACATTTTCACACAGACATTCCTACACCCTTGGATCAGTATGGGTCTTTAGAAGATGGTATGAGCATATTTTTAAAGATATATATATGTGTGTATAAATATATGTATATATCCTTATTATGAAAAGCAATTCAGTCATAGATTACATTGATTGTGCTTTCCAATAGGGGCAGGAAAGCAAAAGTGTTTTAAGGAATTGGAATCAGTCTGACCCATGTAGAAAGATGTAAGAACCATTGTCAACAAATCTTTACCAATTCTTGTAACTTGCCCAGCTTTGTAGCTGTGAGTTCTCAAATAGCCAAGAGAATCAGTAAATAGCCCAAAGTATTTGAATACCAGTGATGCCCATCACATGTAAAACATGTGAATCTGTCTTGGATCTTGCTTGACACCAGTGTGTTTTTTTGTTTTGTTCTGGGTTTTTCTTTGTTTTGTTTGTTTTCCCTTTTAGGACCGAGAAGCCCCAGCTGTTTCCCCGCTTTTCCATAACACTTGAGATTGCAAAACATCATTTGGATGTTTAATTATTTAAATTTTTTGTCCTTCTTTTGTTTTCTGAATTTAGAATAATTTTTAGTTTTAATTTATTTCATAGGGATATTTTTTCAAATTTTTTTTTAGTAAGTTTGTAGCGTTTATACTTCTGAAGTTACTATAGCTTAAAGGTGCACTAAGCCATGAATTAACGTAGCTTCAAAACTGCATTCTATATACATTTCAGAATATAAACCAGATTATAGCTCAGGTGCGTGCCAATGGTATTGTAATGGGTGGATTGACTCAATGTGGTGTTTTGTAGCCCACAGCTCCATGCATACAGGAGTTCCTTACCCTTCTGGCTGTGTGCCACACAGTGGTTCCCGAGAAGGATGGAGATGAGATCATCTACCAGGCCTCCTCCCCAGGTGAGGGTCTCCTCGGATATGCCCTGCTGCCCCTTCTCTGGAGACGTGGGTGTTTGCTGTTATTTATGGAAGGTGTGCTGATGCAGTATTTGCTGACTCCACTATTTGCTTCTGGCCTCACACCTTGTACGGGTGATGGTTGCAGGTGTTAAGACCATAGAGAGCAGGTAGGTGCTGGGCTCTCCTGGCTCTAGTAATATTTCGACCACGGGGGGAGGATCAGGCCCTCTTGAATTTCCTAACAGAAGCTGGAGTGCTAGAGAAGGCTCTGAAGGGGGAGCAGGGTTGGCTTCCTTGCTCACCCCAGCACCTCATGGATTTTCCAACTGCTGGTGAGGCTGTCCTATGGGAACAGTAATGTTGTCCCCGTGTCCTGGTGCTAATATTGTCCCCCCTCATACTAGGTCTGAAACATTGCCTTACTCAGAGAAGATACTGAGTCAGCAATTAAGGGGACTATTGAATAGGTTAATTAGAGAGAATTTGATTCCAACTGAGTTAATGGGACTGTAATTCACTTTTGTCCTGGTGAATTAACTTTATGTTCCAGTTGTCCCATTGAACAGAAGTGCTCATCCCAGGACACCTGCTGGCAGAAGAGTGGGTGCCTTCCATATCCTATCAGATTAGACCAGCCGCTTTCATGGGTGTGGGTTTTGTCCAGTTGAAAAATAACCCTTAGCAAGCAGAATTCCATCATTACAAGTGATCAGTCAATGATTCACCAAATACTTTATTGACAGACGAAGCTGCTTTGGTGAAAGGAGCTAAAAAGCTGGGCTTTGTCTTCACAGCCAGAACGCCGTACTCTGTCATCATAGATGCAGTAAGTGACATACGTGTGCCTGTATCTACAGCTCAGCTTTGTTTGCTCGTTTGAGCAATATATGTTTGAAATAGCATGCCTGTTGTAAATATAACTCAATTTCTATTTTTTCCCATGAGAAACTAGACCTGTTGAAAAACGAGTGTTATGTGATTATACTAGCCTATTTGTTTAATGCTGCTCTTCCTTTGCAGTGATTTGTTGTTTTTGCGCTGCAGTAATTTATATTGTTTTTGCGCTGCAGTAATTTATATTGTTATTGCATTGCAGTAATTTATGTTGTTTTTGCATTGCAGTGATTTTTCTCAAAGTTGAATTACTACAAGTCTTTCAGACGTCGATGTGAAGTTATTTGTAGCAAAATATTTAGCAAGCCTGTTCCTTGTGCTATGATTGTTGGGGAAATTACTCGTGGCCCACTTGTCTCTGAGGGCAGGGCTCATGTCTTTATCCTTGTAATTTCAGCACCTATGGTGTGTGTACAACAATGTCCTTAGCCCGTTGGGCTTCAGTCTCCTCAGTTGTGAAAGAAAGGAGTTGAAATTTAAGATATCTTTTAAAGAACGCAGGTGGTATAGTAGGAGCCCTGGTGGTGCAGTGGCTAAGCGTTTGGCTGCTAACCAAAAGGGTGGCAGTTCGAATCCACCAGCTGTTCCTTGGAAACTTTATGGGGCGGTTCTACTCTGTTGCTATGAATTGGAATCGACTGCATGCCAATGTGTTTTGGTTTGGAGTTTTTTGGTGGTGCAGTGGTTAAGGAGTTCAGCTGCTAGCTCAAAGGTTGGTGGTGTGAACCCACCAGCCGTTCCATAGAAGAAAGATGTGGCAGTATACTTTCATAAAGGCTACTGTTTTGGAAACCCTGTGGGGCACTTCTACTCTGTCTTTTAGGGTCATCATGAGTGGAATCGACTTGATAGCAACAGGTTTGGGTTTTGGCTTTTTAAAAATCTATCTGTACAGAATTTTTTTGGTTGTTGTTGTTATTTCTGAAGTCAAGAGGTTTATTTATTTTATGAAGGTTTTATTTTTTCTTCTGAATTTCGTTTCCTGAGGCTAGAGGGAGAAATTTTCTGATGGGTCGGGGGGACAACAAGAATGAGCTCAAATAGGGACCCTTGAGTCAGGCAATGGAGGAAAATGATGAGGACTAGAAGGGCGGGCATTTTCAGTGATGGCCAGTTGTAAGGGCTACTACATTTTATTACCCTCTGGGTTGATCACGGCCAGGAAGTAGTCACTACTGCCTTCCTTCCCGTCTGCTTATCTCCAACCCTGAATTTGGGAAGGACTCACGCATTACAGTATTGGAATCCCTGGGTGGTGCAAATGGTTAACACATGCAGCTTCTAACTGAAAGGTGGGGGGTTCAAGTCTACCCAGAGTTGCCTTGGAAGAAAGGCCCGGTGATCTTCTTCAGAAATATCAGCCACTGAATACCCTAAATGGAGCACAGTTCTGCTCTGACACACACGGGGTTGACAGCAATTGGAACTGGTCACGTATTATTACAGTTTTTGGCTTTATATATTTGAAATCCCTAGATCTCTTTAATTCATTTAAAATTCAGTTCCACCTGGTGTAATGACTTGATGCTGTGCCAGTCTTGGTAGTAGTTAGTTTTTTCTTTCTTGTATGCAAAACTTATAAAATATTGTACCCTATACAAAGTGCGCATTTCTTGGCATGTTTATCTTCTTTTCTTATGGTATACAGAGATCAGATCATATTTATTTCGACCAACAGAGGGGATTTAGCTTAGGGAGACATGCAACACTGAAAGTGGAATGAAGTAGTGATGGACATCGGATTCCATTCACAGAAGCTTTTCAGAAATGAAGTCCTACTTCCCTTCAGTCTGAGGAGACTTTAACCTTAACTGCAAGAGCTTGGGTTGTGTGGGTCCTCACTGCACCTCAAGCCAGCCGCAGCATAGCCAGGAGAGAATGACTGCTTCTGCTTTTCCCACAACACCAGAGAAATACAGGGACCTCGGGAGCCTACTGGCGTTGTCATCTGGTGCTAGGTGCTGACGAACGGGGTGTTGGCACCCCTGCGTTATTTTATTATAGTTCTCAGGTCTTATTTCTGGAAGTAAGAAAGATTACCTGGTAGGTTAGGGCTCGCCAGTAATAATAATAATGTTAAATATTATTCAGCCTTTGTTGTTTTTATGTGCCTTTGAGTTGATTTCAACTTATAGTGACCATGTGTGACAGAGTAGAACTGTCCCATGGGGTTTCCTAGACTGTAATCTTTACAGGAAGGAGGCCTGGTGGTACACTGGCTAAGCATTTGGCTGCTAACTGAAAGATTGGTAATTTGAACCCATCAGCCACTCCACGGGAGAAAGATGTGGCAGTCTGCTTCCGTAAAGATCACAGCCTTGGAAATTTATGGGACAATTCTGCTCTGTCCTATAGGGTCCCTGTGAGTCGGAATCCACTTGATGGCAAGGGGTTTGGTAATCTTTACGGGAGCAGATCGCTTTCTGTTGGCGTCCGAGAGCCTAATCATCGCACCATCAGGGCTCCTTATTCAGCCTTTAATACTGGGGTGTCACCAAATCACAGACTCCTGAACTGCTCACCAGCTATTCATGTGGAATGTCCTTACTGACAGTCCTAGCAGTGAGAAAGCACTTCCTGTCGCAGCTGAGTCCACTGACTGCACAGGAAGTGATTGAATATAATAGTGGGTGCAAAGAGGAGACGGCAGCTCTGGCAGTCACAGCGTTGGTGATGAAGTGGTAGCTAGGAGCAGCGAGTGCAGTTCTAGATGGAATCTGCCAGAAAGTCCTGACAGGCTGAGAAGAAAGGAACAGGTGGATTCAAAGAAACAGATGAGTAAAGGCCAAAGAAGGCTGGATTAAGCAGGATGTTAGTGATAATTTGGGGGAGGGAGGGTATGGGTGGGAATATGACAATTATTCAGTTTTACTGTGTCATCCATGTACTTGGTAATTTGGATATGTACTTCCCTTATTACTGCTCTCAAACTGGTAATACCACCAATCAGAATAAAGTCACACTCTTAGTGGCAGAAACTGGATTTGAACTCACATCTGTGGGCCATATTCTTTCCACTGTGATGTGTTCGGGAAATAGAGAGCAGATTGGGTTAAAAAGAGTTTGAAAGTGGCATACACATAATCTAGAACTTTCAGATGGAAAAAATTGAGACTGTTGCGGTTCTGACTTGAAAGAGTCGGAAGAAAATGGACATTTGAGTAGTTGCTGTGACATCTGATGCAGATTCATAATCCTTATCTGCAAATCCAAAAAGCTTTGGATTCCAAAAGACTTTTCCTAAGTTTGGGGCAATGTCATTTGGCAGCAAAACCTAATGAAAATTGATAAGAGACTACTTATGGTCTTCATGAATCTCATTTAGTGTGAATATTCATATATTTTTCAGAAAATTAATGCGTTGTGTTATTGGGTGTTGCCCCAGACCCAACTAAGGATGTCGTAGTATGTGGTCTATGCATATACCTCTCTCAAGTCTATAAAATTTTGTGTTTAGAAGCATAACTGGCCCCAAGGTTTCAGAGGAGTCCCTGTGGACCTGTGTAGCTAATGTCCTTTATCTTTATTTGTGGCTATACCAGCCAGGTCGTAGGATGCTAATACTGTGAGCAATGGGAGACTTCTACCAGAAGAGGGAGCTATGACCACACTAGACTTGTGAGAAAACAGTACATGTTGAAAGGGTGTTGCAGGGGGTAAATTGCGGGGAGAGAGAGGGGATAGGAAAAGAGTGAGTGAGGGAAAGAAGGAGAGGGAAGGAGGAAGAGGGAGACAGCATTTGATTAGGGAGAGAACTGTTTTTAGGTTTTAATACTTTATACCTTTGCACATAAGAGTATGTTTTTCTTCCTTTAGATGGGACGGGAACAGATATTTGGAATCCTTAATGTCCTGGAATTTTCTAGGTATGTTTCTCTCTGCTACACTTGAAATGAACTACTTAAATATATGTAACTACTTTGTCACAGTGCTTGCATGAGTGTGTGGTATGATTAAATATAATATGTAAGTAGTCACTATAGTAAATATGTCTCCACAAATCCTCTTCTCCCTGGAATTTGAGAATTTCATTAAAGATGGTGCAGCGGGCCCGTTCTCTCTGCTTTCTTCAATAGAAACATTTTCCTTCACAACCTTCCTGTTCTTTAGTTTCCCAGAGCCTGCCATTGTGGCTGTGCTAGCAGCTGCAGAGGTGTCTGCGTAGTTGGGAGTAGGTTGATTAGGGTCTTGTTTTCATTGGCATTTCCAGGTCCCATTAAGTCATGCCTCTTGCGCCATCTGAGCACTCCTGTGTGAGAGCTGAGAAACTGATGCATGATGACAGATCCATCCACTCACCCCATCCGCAGCTCTGTCCTCACCCGCTCGTTCTATTGCAGTATTTAGAAGCAGTCTTCCCAGTGCAGTTTCTTCTGGTTAAGACCCAGAAATACGTGTTGGATCCTGTTTTTTTCAAAACTATGAACAGTCATCATTTGTTATAAGAAAACATCTTAATGTTTTGTGTCTTTTTTTCTTCTTGACATTGAACTGTTAATACTAGAGCAAGGATCTGCTGTTATATCGAAAGCATCTTTAAAAATGAGGTGGATTTTAAAATTTAACCATTGTTAAATGGGTCACAAATTGCTTTGTTCTGTCTGCTTCATGAGGTACTTGAGAAAGATTGCTTTTTGTTCCTCTTGGAGGCAATACTTTCCCATCCTAGTCTTTAGTTTTAGGACTGTAAACTTGAAAATTGGTGGATCTGCAGCCCTTAGGGTTGGAGAGTCAATGGGAGTAGCTAGCAGAGCATGGTTAATAACAGTAGTCGTTCATGTGGGAAGTGGGTGATGGGGTGTCTGTATGGGGAGGTGGGCATGGACTTGACATCCCTTCAGACTTTCTTGTGTTCCATCTTTTGCTGACATATTGGCAGCTTGCACTGTTTTGTGGCTGCATTAACTAGGACCAGCAGTTAATGGAGGAAGGGGGAGAAGAAAAAGGAGTTAGATTAAAAATAGGTGAGTATGGAATGGAGCCATGATGTTGGGAAAATAAGAGGGAATAAAGGAGTCATTTGTGGTTATAGCTGTGATTCTATTTCTTTTTCATTGACTCATCTTTTGACAATCTCCTTTGAACAGGGCTTAGAACTGGATCTTTTTGATTTGAACCCCTGCTGAGAATTTGCATTTCTAAGTCCCCAGGAACCTATACATAAGAATCACCTGAGAATCTTGTTAAAATGTACATTCTAATTCAGTATATCTGGGGTGGAAATGCAAATTCTCAGCAGGGAACTTGTTAGAAATGCAAATTCTCAGCAGGTGTTTAAACCAGAATGAACCGGTTCTGAAGCCCTGCCTTTGAAGTCCTTGTTGGTAACTCTGCTTTAGAGACTCAGAAACTGACGCTTAGGTTAAATAACTTTACCAAGAGCACCTGGTTACTCAGTAGCTGAAAGGAAATTCAAATCCAGGTCAGAGAGAGGGCTGTGAGCTAGAATGTAGGAATTTACGCAAAGCTGAAGAGATAACATCCCTTACTCTTAGGAACTTATAGTCCAGTAGAAATGGCCATACTGAAACGTCAAAGAGATTGGTGGTCTGGGGCCCATTCTAGTTGAGAATGTGTTTCAGCGAGATGAGATGTAGTCCTGTAGGAAAATGCGTGGAACAGAATGCACAGAGGAGGAGAATGGTGAGCCTTCTGGTGTGCTTGAAACCTGGGGCATCTGAGGGGCTAGTGGGAGATGTGGTGAGGCTGGAGATCAACTTGAAGAGGAATTTACAGGCAATGGGAAGCCATTGAAGGTTTGTGAGTGAGGACAGTTTTGATGAAAGATGTGTGAGGAAGTGTACTCTGGTAGTGCGTGTTGGAGTGGAGCAAGGAGAAATAGAGAGTTACCTTGGTGCTCAATTAGAAATGTTCTGTGAATTTGTCATCTCTTTCCATTCTAGTTAGAAACAGAATCAATGAGGAGCTTTTGAGTAAAGTACATCTATCTTGATATCTTGATATCTCCCACTTTGCTACTTATTGGGCAGATTACTTAGTATTTTGGAGCTGTAAAATAAAGTCCATATTGTAGAGAATGTGCTGAGAAGTGAGTTAGGTGTGCATAGTAGATGTGCAAATTCTTCTTTCCTATCTCCCCTTCTGCGAATAGTTGTGCTAGTGAATTTCTATGGGAGGGAAATGAATAGATGTATGTCAATTAGAAATAAATAAAAAGAGGAGGAGATACTTAGAGTTCTACAGTGAGGAAAACCTAGGGAAAAAGGGAGCTTGACCATTTTTAGAACTGCCTGACAACCTTTTGATTTGATTGGTATTTGATCATTTTGGGACACGGATCTTACAACGCAGACCAATGACGACTTTTTTTTTCTTTCTTTTTTTACTGTTACAGTGACAGAAAAAGAATGTCTGTAATTGTTCGAACTCCTTCAGGACGACTTCGACTCTACTGTAAAGGGGCTGTGAGTATTGCATGAGTGTCTTGCATAGTGGTGACTTCATTTTTAATTTTCCTTTTGCACGGTAAATTGTATATATAGATAGCAAAACATTTGCCATTTCAACATTTTTTCATGTATAATTCAGTGACATTAATTATGTATATAATGTGCAATAATCACTAATAGGTTTCTTTGAATTTAAATTTTTTAAATTGTTGTAAGATATATATAACACAACATTTGCCAATTTAACATTTTTTGATGTGTACCATTTAGTAATGAGCCTTGGTGGTGCAGTGGTAAAGCACTGGGCTGCTAACTGAAAGGTCGATGGTTCAACCCACCAGCTGCTCTGCAGGAGAAAGATCTGGCAGTCTGCTTCCGTGAAGATGACAGCCTTGGAAACCCTGTGGGCCAGTTCTACTCTATCCGATAGGGTTGCTATGAGTTGGAATCGACTCAATGACAATGAGTTTGGTTTTTCGTTTGCCATTTAGTGATATCAGTTACATTAATCAGTGGTGACTTCTTGACAGCTGCTTGTTAATCTGCTGCTTTTTGTAGCTGTTGTCTTCATTATTCTCTGATCGTTTGCCCAAGGTTGAGAGGCTGTTTCAGGCTGGCCATAAAGCTCATTTAGTAGTAAAAGTCCACTGAAGATAATGGTGGTTCAAGCCAGCATGGCAAAGGCGATCAGTGAGAAGCTTGTGTTGAGCCAGTGGCTGGTTTCAGGCGCAGCAACTTGATGTGTGACGACAAACCCTTGGAGTATGAATTCTAAGTCTAGCTTTACCACCACTGTGTTGTGACGTAGAGATCATGTGATTTGTGTTCTCTCCTATATACTGCTTCTCTAGCAGGGATTCTTTTCATTTTTGTGGTTCTATTTTTTTATAATTTATTTGATTTTTGTTATTGTTGTTGAGAATATACACAGCAGAATAGACACCAGTTCAACAGTTTCTACATGTACAATTCAGTGACATTGATTATATTCTTCGAATTGTGCAACCATTCTCTCCCTCCTTTCCTGAGTTGTTCCTCCCCCATTTGTGGTTCCATTTTTTCTTTTTTTTCATCTCAGGGAGCTATGTAGTAGGTTCAAGGGCAGTGCCTATTATTGCAGCAGTCTTACTGCCTCTTTTGGCCAGTTTCCGAGTAATCACATCTAAATACATTATCTCTAAGGGGAGATCTTACTGCTTATGAACCTTACCTGCAAACTTATATCCTGTTAAATTTGGCCTAATGTGTTGAAGGAAAGAATTTTATGAGACTGTCAAGAAGACAAAGCTATACCGGGATCAATGATTTGTTGAAAATCTTACAAATCTTTGTTAATTTGGGGAAGAAGGGTGGTCTTATTTGAGTACACTCTGACTAAGGTTTATAAAAAAATGAGAGTAATCTTGTGAATTCTAAATGCATTCTGTGTGGAGCTGTTAAAGGATTCTGTGTTTATAGAGTAGCAACAACTTAAATTAAGGACAAGCGATGTTCTTGCACAGTATTCTTAACGTTGTTTTTATTTATTTTTGGTCATTGTGTTCTAAGTACTACACACACACAAAAAAAAACACCAAACCCGTTGTCATTGACTTGATCCCGGCTATGAGCTAAGCACCACAGCAGGTACAAAATGAGGCAGTATGAGGAAGGCTGTAAACAGAACAGCAGAAGTAGGAAAATACTAGATGGTACATTTTAATTGTTATAAAATTTAATGCTTTCCAATTCTGTTCCCCTCCCCTCCCAAAAAACAAACAAACTAGGTTTCTTTTAGTTTCCTGATACTGCAATGATACAGTATAGGATCAATTCAGTCCAAATTTATGACAGCAAATGTAATGATCGATTCTACTTCAATTCAATTCTATGCCTAACTGCACATGCAGCACTTTTTCCTCTGACTCTAGCCACCCAGGGCTAGGTTAACCCAAACCCATTGCTGTTGAGTCAATACTGACTCATAGTGACCCTGTAGGACAGAGTAGAGCTGCCCCATAGAGTTTCCAAGGAATAGCTAGTGGATTCGAACTGCCGACCTTTTGGTTGTGCCACCAGGGCTCTGAGCTAGGTTAGAACTCATGAGTAAAGGGCACAAGGGCACAGTCCTCCAGACCGCCAAGTCACCCTAAGACTTCAGATGCCAGTCACAAGCTTGGGGGCCCCCATGACACCCTCACTTCTGACCTGCTGGCCCCTCAGGATGCCAGTTATAAGCCTGTTCGTCCCAAGGGCTCCCCTCACTTCTGACGTGAGAACCATAAGTTTGGGGGTTTCCTCTACCCTCCTTAGGGTACTAGCTATAAAGTCAGGGTTCTCTATGCTACCCTCACTTCTGACCTGCTGGCTCCCAGTACTCCCCCAGGTTTGATAATTTTCTAGAATTATTCACAGAACTCACATAAACACTATACTTACAATTATAGTTTTATTACAGCAAAAAGGGTACAAATGAAGAGACACATAGGGTGATTTCTGGGAGGGTTGCCAACGTGGAGCTTCCATGTCCCAAAAAAGGGCACACTGTCCTCCCTCATGCATCAATATCTGTCATTAACCAGGAAGCCCATGGAGCTTCCATGTCCAGAGCCTTTACTGGGGCCTCATTACATAGGCACGATTGGTTGAATCATGCCCCCCTTCCCCTATCACAAGTTGGGGCTTTCTGGCATGGCCAACCCCTACCTGAGTCACCTGTTAGGTAGTGTGGTCTGGAAACCTCATCAAAGACACTTCAGTTACTGGGGGAATTGCAAAGGTTTAGAGGTTATCTTTCAGGAACCAAGGACAAAGACCAGATTCTTTGGGTAAAGTTCAATTCTTTACTCCACAATAACATCTTTGATGGATAATGTGTGACATTCCATTCCCAGCCCTGCATGTTGGTCATGGAAATATCACTTGGTGTCACATGGTGATGAGCTGGACCACACCAGTGTTTCTTGGCCAAACTGGGCTCAGTGCCTAGTACCTAACGGCCTCTGTGGTTAGGGGCTCCTCCCTGTCAGAAGATGAGGTTGTACTAGAGTAATTTGGGATGCGCAACTTACCCTTTCTACTTCTGCAAAAAGATATTATAAACTTTGCTATGAATTTTGCAAATTTGAGTGAATATAGACACCATTCCTCATGCCTATGGTTCTCCCCCCAACATGTGTTACTTTGAATTATAAGGTACACAATAGATTTTGGTTTTGTTGGGCACATCCATAACTGATTTGTTTTTCAAAGTTCATGATTGAATCCAGCCAAGAATTGTATTTGAACTTGCCCACTCAAGTATTCTCATGCACATTAGACAAACACCACCAGAGCAAAGCCACTTTTAGAATGCTGACTGGAAGGCTTTATTTAAATATTTGCTAGTCACAGTGTTTCCCTATTTTATAGGATAATGTAATTTTTGAGAGACTTTCAAAAGATTCAAAATACATGGAGGAAACATTATGCCATCTGGAGTATTTTGCCACGGAAGGTAAGTAAAATTTGGAAATGCTCTTTTTAACCATTCAAGTTATAGTTTCAAGCGCTCATGGCTGATGCTTGGGTAAGGAGTCATGTTCTGGATGGACCTGTCATTTTTGTGGAGTTGTTTAGCTTGCTTTTCTAGTGCCAGTCCCAGTTTCTACACATTCTGTACCTATGACAGTGACAAAATGCATGGCACAGTCTATATTCCATTACCTACAGACGACTCTGCTCACTCTTAACCAGCAGTGATAGGAACTTTGTGTACAGAGGGAAAAGGCAGGCGAATTCACAGTGTGTAGCATCATTGTGTAACTAATATCCCCCTTCTCGGCAAACTCACCTTGTTGTTTCCCTGCCCCACTCTCGTTATCCTTATGGCACTGGCTTATAGTTGTCTTAAGGAAACCACAGCTCACTGAGCCCATAGTGAACAGGAAAGGAGTTCTCTGAAAGGCTTTAAACAACACTGATGGCAAGTTTTCCTGCTGGTGATTGTGATCAAAGCGGGAGCCTTGCTTAAGTGTTGACTGCTGCTTTCTCACCTTAGTGGGTTCCCTATGGCTCCGTGCACACATGCACGTGTGCGCACACACACATGCACAGACACACACACACACAGGCACGTCTGCTTGAAAACTTGCAGACATACACACAAACACACACACACACACACACACACACACACAGGAACGTCTGCTTGAAAACTTGCATCTTTCATGTGATAGCACATAGGGCTTTTTACTGCTGTCTTGAAACATACTTCCTGCTGCTTCTACCTACTGCTACCTGCCTACTGCACACGTACTCATGGATGGAGCACAGCTCCCATACCTCTCTGCTGGGGAGAATTACCATCCAGTGGCTTCTCATGTACTTTTAAATATATAGAAGAGGTTATTCACATTAGAATACAGTATCCAAACCCAAAAAACCAAACCCATTGCTGTCAGGTCATTCTGACTCACAGTGATCCTATAGGACAGAGTAGAACTGCCACATAGGGTTTCTAAGGCTATAAATCTTTACAGAAGCAGACTGCCACATCTTTCTCCTGTGGAGTGGCTGGTGGGTTCGAACCGCTGATCTTTCGGTTAGCAGTTGAGCACTTAACCACTGCACCACCAGGGCTCCTTAGAATACAGGATAGTTATTTTAAATTTCTCTTTTTAGATGTGTGAAAGTTGGATTAAAGTGACCTAAAAAGCAGACAGTTTCTTTAATTTATGTGAACACGCTCATATGAAATGGAGTCAGGTGATTTTACATAGGAGATAAAATACTCTACTTGACCCAGTTCACCAGCGGTGTGTCTGGTCTACACTGTGGCTGTTTGCAGGTTTGCGGACCCTCTGTGTGGCTTATGCAGACCTCTCTGAGAATGAATATGAGGAGTGGTTGAAAGTCTATCAAGAAGCCAGCACCATATTGAAAGACAGAGCTCAACGGCTGGAAGAGTGTTATGAGATCATTGAAAAGGTATATGATACAAGATACATTCTGTATGTGCCTAATGAAAGACTTATCACCTATTGAACAAAGTATTTGAACAGGAATCGTTTTGCTATATAATGATCTGTTATCTAGTTAGCATCTTAATTAACCATTAGGTTTTAGTCTTTTTCTTTATAAAGCACTGAATTTTGATGGGCATCTGAAAGGTCGCTCTACCCTCAGCTAAGTATTAATGATATCTTAAGGACTATTGGGTGAAAAGCTGCATCAGTGACTTTCTGGGTTTTGCCAAGATTATGCTTATGTGAGTAGCTCACCAACATACATGAGCAATCAGAATGTTGGATGGTTAGGTTAGACATTGTATATACTACGAATTTTCACACTTAACATCGTGATAGTCAAGCTTCACTGTTGCTACTTCATATTGCCTACTTTGACTTTTTTGTTCTTTTCAGCTTATCTCAAGGCGTTCGCTAGCTTTCTGCTTACTGGGTTCCCTCACATCAGGGAGCCAGTTTTCAGCTTCATGTCAGACATCATTTTCTAGAAAATGGTCCATCTGTTTTCCCATTTCTATAACTTTGAATCATTACCTGTTTGTTTTTTCATTCCATTTTTGGTTGTTTAGTTCCCCTTTGCTTTTTTATACTTGGCTTTCGTTGAAGTTTTTATACTCAGTTGTTTGCCATTTTGGTGGAATCTGAGTAGGCGTAGAGCTGACTCCATGTGTTCATTCGCCATGCTTTACTGGAAATAGCACATTAGTTTATACTTAGAAAACAAACTATTCAGTAGGTGACGTGCCCATGTGGTGCCAGACATGTGGTGGATACTCACGAGTTAGTTGGCTCTTCCTGCAGTCTGTTAGCCAAGGCGAGGTGATACGTCACAGACGAGGGGAGAGTGATAGTGTTTTCCAGGCCTTCTATGCAGAAAATTTGGAATCTGCCAGCCCAGCAGGCCAACGCATAGGCAGCCCAGGGCATTGCACATCCACGCCCGTCCTCGGTGTGACTTGAATAGATTTTTCCTGTGGCCTTTAAGTGGACAAAAGGGGGTGAATTTTTATAGCTCCTCTGTCCTAAGGTGTTTTTATGTTTTCTTCTATACCCATTAAATTCTTAGCATCACACATTTTACTCCTGTAGTGCTGGGCAAGTGTATCATCGAGAAATCAATTTTTACATATGTTAAACATAATACAATACTTTATTCATTAGTGGGGTGAGGGGATGTATATCCTCAGAATAAGTTGCCCATATTCTATGCTACCAAATGATTTCTAGTCTATTCCAAGTCTACCGTGCCTATGCACCAAGAAATAAATGATGAGCACTGGGTTAACTTTATGTATTGAGTGGCCTTAACATTGTGAAGAGTTTTGAAATGCCATATGTCTAGTTATCAGTAATCATCCACAAAGAAAGACTTGATGTAGAGGAAGTAAGATAACTGTCATAGAACATTTTGACTGCCTTTCTTTTGTCAGAGTTTTATGATTAATGCTGTTCTTAAGTATGTTTCAATCTTTGATTAAAGATATTTTTCCATCTAGAATTTGCTGTTGCTTGGAGCCACGGCCATAGAAGACCGCCTTCAGGCAGGCGTTCCAGAAACCATAGCAACTCTGTTGAAGGCAGAAATTAAAATATGGGTGTTGACAGGAGACAAACAGGAAACTGCAATTAATATAGGTAATCAGTTTTAAAAATAATTTCTGGATGTTGGTTTTTGTCTTATGTTTTTAAAGTGTCTGATAGAGGTGCCTGAGTTCTCCTCAGATGCATTGACAACTGACTTTTTGTAGAATTCTTCATTCACAAGGTGAAGAAAAGTTTGCCCAAATCAAATGAAGATGCTCTGATGAGCATCATCTGCCTGTTATCAATATTAAAACTCTTCATAGCTCTCTGAAAAGTATTAAATACACTGTGTATAGAATATACGCCTTAATAGTTCACAACTTTCTTCTTACTGCTTTCTTCACAAAACTCTCTTAGAGCATGTTTTTATTACATTGAAATCTATATTAGTATTTTATATAATTATAACTATTGTAATTATTTTACCAGTTGATAGATTTTTCTAACATCTTGGTTGGCAACCTCCTTCCCTGCTAAGTATCACAGCGGACAATTGAAAAGAGGGGAATTGAAGTCAAAATAATTTCTTCGCTGGTGTTAAAGAAGCACATTTTTAGTGTGAGGAGGAGTCGAAACGACTAATTTAAAATCTAACTGTGATTATCTGACATATTTTTAAATTGTCTGTTACTTTTATCACCTTTATGGAGTAATAATCTCTGGTACCTATGTGATAAAGTGTGTACATAAGGAGTAGACAACCTAGCATGTTTTTTGGAAATAGACATTATTTCATGTCATGGCACCTCAGAAAGAAACCTCCTAGGACCTCTGAAGTTAAGGGACCATCGACCTCTTCAGAGTAGCCTCCCTGGAATACCATCAGTTTGTTCCAGTGGTGCCTCCGGTCCATAAAGCCCTCCCTTGGCTTAGTTCTGGCTTTCAGTTGCCTCAGTTGTAGATAATACTAGCCCTCTGGGGTTAATTTCATTTTTTGAAATTAAACAAAGTAGACATTTTTGGAAATTATTTCTGCAAGGTGTGGAATCACCTTGCACGAAGCAATTTGACTTTTGTTCTCGGTTTTTTGAGCTCTGCTAGCACCTGAGGCTAATGATTGGGGCTGACCAGATCACCTAGGGGCCCAATGCTGACTGAGCCTCAGGAGGCAGGATGTCATCTATCCTGGCCACATGGTGAGGCCAGTAAGAGCCCGAAGGCTCAGATGAACTTCCTGGTTGGTGACCATGCACGAGACAGGGTAGTGCATCCTTCTTTGGGACATGGAAGCTCCACACTGTGACCCCTCCCAGACCTAACCCTATATGTCTCTTTCTTTGTATCCTTTCTGGTTGTAATAAAGTTTCAGCCATAAATACTCTCCATAAATTCTGTGAGTTATTCCAGGGAATTAATGAACCCACAGGGGTAGTGAGGGCCAGCAGGGGCTGACGTCTGCCTATTTGGCAGTCTGAAAGAAGCTGTCCTTCTAACGTGTGAGCTCTGACCCAGCTCTCGGTGGCTGGGGCTGAAAGAAGGTATCCATCTAACATGTGAGCTGTGACCCAGCTCTGGATATCTAGGGCTGAGAGAAAGTGCTGCATGAGCCGCTGGCAACAAGGGTGGAGAAGTGAGAAGGTGAGGACTGGATCCATTTGCACACTTTGGGAATTGGATTCTTGCTGATCCTCCCCATGCAGTTAGCAATGAAGATGCGATTTTCCCACTATGCCCTTGTTTAGTGCAATTTCAGTTTTGTAAATAGTCATTTCTTGTCAAGGTGGTAACTAACCAAGCGCAATTTGGGTTCCCAAACAACTGAAATTAAAGTCACAGAGAGTGACGTGATTCATAGGCAGTCCCTGAAACATCAATGTTTCCATCCGTCAATTTGTCCTGGTTTTCACTCAAATGCATGCCCTCGGACAAATGTGAGAATATTTCAGTGCAAACCCGTCACTGTTCTTGGAAAATGAAAACCCAAAGCTTACAGCCCTTTGGTGATGTGTTGATAACATTGTTTTTAAATGAAGGATAGCGCATTTCCTTTTTTGTAATGTCCCTTCAGGTATTAGTTCCAAGATAAATTTGGTCTGAAACACCTGCTAATGGTATATGGCCCCGGTTGTTCATATATGGCATATAAAGCTGACTAGTGCCTGAAATTGTTGTTGTCGTTAGTTGCTGCCTAGTCAGTTCCAACCCATGGCAACCCATGTACAACAGAATCAAACTGCCCCATCCTGCGCAATCCTCATGGTCACCGGCATGCTTGAGTCCATTATTGCCTTCCAGCCTAGGGGGCTTACCTTCCAGCACTCTTTCAGAAAATATTGTGTTGGGATCCATTAGATTTTCACTGGCTAATTTTTGGAAGTAGATTGCCAGGTCTTTCTTCATAGTCTGCCTTAGTCTGGAAGCTCTGCAGAAACCTGCCCACCCTGGGTGACTCTGCTGGTATTTGAAATACCGATGGCATAGCTTCCAACATCATAGCAACGTGCAAGCCTCCAGAGTACAGCAAACTGACAGATGGGTTGTGGGCTGCCTGAAATACTTACCCAAAATTTAAGTATACTTTTTGTTCTGTTATAGCAATATGAAAGAAACGTGTAACGCCTCAAATTAAAATAGAACTGTAGTGATACTCCTTCTTTTTCCAGATCTTGAATGTTCTTGCTGGACTAATGACGTTTCTATGCACCTAGCCTTAGACTTACCATCCTTAGATACCTTGTGTGCTTTGAAGAGCGTGCTTTAGAGCATGCTGACTGTGTGCTACCTGGAAGAGACCAGTGCCCTCTCTCCACCTTTCAACCACATCATCCCGCCCTTGGGGAGCACACGTGTCTTTTCGTGCTTGTTTCTGTTGTTATACCTGACCTGTCAGTGTCTAGCTAAGTTTGGAACATATGCAAGAGAAAGCTAACTGGCTGAATCAGTCCACATAACATAAATGGGTTATTATTTGAGAAGGAAAATTTTACCTGCATGCAGCGAGGCTTCTCTGAGCCCTCTGAGATAACTGATACCTGTCCAAACAGTTTTTTTTTTTCATGGTTAAATTATTTCATGTTTTTTTCCAAAGGATATATAGTAACATCTGTAGTTTTGGCACTAGAAACACTCACATCCATTAGATAATTTGTAATTGGTCTTTGTTGGCGAACGCTCCTCAGGGCCACTAGAAGATGAATGTTGGTGTTGTGTGCCGTCTCGTCGATCCCGACTCATACTGACCCTATAGGACCGAGTAGAAATGCCACATAGGATTTCCTAGGCTGTAATCTTTACGGAAGCAGATCGTCAGGTCTTTTTTTCCATGGAGCAGTTGGTGGGTTCAAGTTGCTGACCTTTCAGTTAGCAGCTAAACACTTAACCATTGCACCACCAGTGCTCCTTAGAAAATGATGCCTCCTACTTATAAGCTGATGCCTTTGCCAAAGTCTTATATTTATCCTGGGGATTTCCTCCGCTGGGGTTTTTCCTACTGTATTTGTAGGATTCGATCAGCTCTTTTGTGTTACTAAGTATGTTTCTAACTGGGGAATCGGTCTTTTTTAAAAGAGCTCTATCTAAATTGTTTCTTTACTTCACCTTCAAAACTCAAGTTCCTAACCCTGGGTGATGTTGAGGGATTAAATGTAGTTTTCTGGTTTAGGGTCTCAGTTGATACTACAGTCTCTGCAGGAGAGTCAACAAAGTGTATACATCCAGAAATTTTATCAGATCTGTCCATGCTAGCTCACAGTCAACAGCTGTAAGCAGCTTAAGGTCCAGTTGCAGATAGAGTATGGATTTTAAATCTGTTTTCTAATCATGTATTCCTCCCGACATGGAGTCCCTGGGAGGTACAAATGGTTAACACACTTGGCTGCTAAAAGAAAAGTTGGAGGTTTGAGTCCACTGAAAGGTGCATCAGAAGAGAAGGCTGGTGATCTACTTCTGAAAAATCAGCCACTGAAAACTCTGTGGAGCACAGTTCTAGTCTGGCACACATGGGGTCGCCATGAGTTGGAATTGACTCAATGGCAGCTGGTGTTTGGTTTTATTCCTCCTGAAAGCTACCCCGGTAATGAAAACCGTTATCTATTGACCTGTCTAGCACAGTGCTTCTTTTTTCTTCTGTACATTTTAGTGCATTCCATATGTGTTTTGGGGTATCAGAAGATATTTGGGAAGAAGATTAAGTATCTAGCAGTTGTACTGGACGAAGGAAGAAAAGACGACAAGTTAATTGAATGTCTGCTGAGTACCAGGCCCTGTGCTAGGAGGCACTTCCTGTCTTTACACCTCAACAATCTTACAGCTCCTGGTGGAAACGCAGAGTGTACCAGGGTTATGGTGGTGCAGTGGTTAAGAGCTCAGCTGCTAACCAAAAGGTTGGCAGTTTGAATCCACCAACTGCTCCTTGGAAAACCTATAGAGCAGTTCTATACTGCCCAATAGGGTCACTGTGAGTCGACATTGACTCTATGGCAATGGTTTTTTTTTGGTTTTACCAAGGTGATACTCTACTTAATGGCCCAGCTAGCACTGCATCTCATGGCCCTTGATTTCTGGTGCAGGGCTCACTTAAAACCAATTCATGTAGCTTTCACAAAAAACCTCCACCAAAATTTCATCCATTCTGTAATGTCTCTGAAATGGGGATTTCTTACGATTGTTGACTCTTACAATTTTAATTGGCAGCATTTTCTTCGTGATCCATATAGTCAGTGTTCTTCTTTAGATTTGGTGATGTTTGGTATGTTTGGTGTTTGGGGTTGTTGGCTATCTTTCGCCTTTGGTTCTTCCTTATTTTTTTTTTTTTTAACATATCATAGTTCAAGAATTTATTTTTAAAATGTTACTTTTAGTTCATACCTTGGCAGTAAATACCCTTAGTCAAATTCAGTTCCAGGACACATTTGTGTCTGTTGTGAGCCAGCATGAGCCAGTGAGCAGTGTGTGGATTGACAGTCATCTTGCCTGTGGGTTTAGGTAGCTTGGAACTGGCACCGTGCCAGAATCCTGCTGCCCCCGAATGCTGGAATTTATGCTAACTAGCTGTGTTTCAGGGAGTTGGCAATTTTCTTTTTCGAATTAAAAAGTTTGGCATCAGCTAGTCG